GCCACTCGGGCTACCACCACCGGGTCCCACCTCTCCCTGCTGGCTCGGTCTGGAAGACAAATCTGGGGCACCAGCCAGGGAAGGTGGGGCGAGCGGGGCCAAGACAATTCACGAGGCAGGCTCAAGTTTCTCCACCAACAGTCGGGGAGGACGGCGCCTGACCCACTTTGAAGGGAGCACAGAGATGGGAATAACGTGCATGGTGCTCTGAATACACAATCGGAGGGAAGGCAGCCCTGCGGGTCCCTGACAACCCAGACGGAAGAGGGCTGTCCTGAGCCAGAGCTGCCTTTATTAGAAAGAATCGTTTTTTTAACACCACCAAATGGGGAGTCCCGAGGCGGGGCAGGCGGTTCATGTCCCTGAGTGGGAGGCGTCTGCAGGGGCGGGGGTGGGGGGGCTGGTAACGGGAGTGAAGTGATGGTGCTGCCGCAGCCCCTTCCATCCTGAGAGCTCCCTGCTGGGCGGCCCAGGTAGAACAGTCCACAGCGGCCCATTTCGTGGTTTAGGGCTCCAGGCTCTGGCGCCACCGCTGCCGGGCCTGTGGACATGAAGGACAGAACGGTCGTCGGCGTCTCCTAAGTGTCCCTGGTCGACCTACGGCTGACAGTGAGAGCTGGGAGTCAGGAGGAAGCCCAGCCTCTCTGTGAGGTGGGCCTGCGTCTCATTTCTCTTGGGCTCAGGCTTCCTTGAAGACGATGGGGGTGGAGGCTGGTGGGGGCAGGGAGGCTCCCTGCCCGGTGTTCCCCAGGTACACACAGTGCTGGGGTGGGGCAGAGGGGAGGCCATACGGAGGCAGCCGGCGATGCTCCAAGGTCTCTCCGGGGACCATCCAGCGACACAGCTCTTTCTGCGGGTGGCTTGGGCCACGTCTCTGATCTCCGGGCCAGCCCCAAGGGAGGCTCACTCTGAGGCCACTCCCAGGACGCAGTGGCCGGAGACGCCAATGGCAGGGCCGCGCACGGGGCTGGCGTCTGGATGCTGACCCGCTGCTGAGCACTCTGCCAATAGTGCTTTTCACACAGTCCCAATTCATCTTCCGGCCTTCGCCACCGCCCGACAGGGAGCCTGGCCCATCAGTGCACACCGGCGACGGATACCGGCCGACCTGCGCACCTGGGCCGGAGCCGAGTGTTCAGGAACCAGTGGACGGCACGGGGGGCAGGTCAGGGAGTCTGCTGAGGCCTGAACAAGTTTCACCTGCCGGGACGGCAATCGATCGCTCTCGTCCACACAAATTCAGGGGCATTTGCAAACCGGGTCTCCCAGACTCAGCAGCCTGGTCTCCCCAGAACTTATTTGAGCAGCAAAAGACACGAAGCGATGCTGGCGCGTGTCAGACATGTTCTGACATTTTCCCGACAAGCGGCTGTTTGCAACGGCCGTCCAACTTGTAGATCCCGTGCTGGCAGCACCAGGGGCTTCTGGCGGAGGGCATGGTGAACACCCTGGAGGAACCAGTTTAAAGGCTTCCCTGTTTGTCTGGAGCTCCGGGGGCCCCTGCTCGGGGTGGGGTCCCTGCAAGTCTGCCCCAGCCTCATTTCAACAGATGGCAGAACAAATTCCTAATTACGCACAAGAACGTTTCCGGCCGGCTCAGCACGTTTATTTATGATTTTCCGGTCCCTTTGGTGCTCATTCTTCCCTTTTGTCTTCCTAGAACCCAAGCCAGCTTATTGCCACCCTGAGCTCCCCGCTCGGCTCTCTTGGACAGTCTGGGCCCTAATCTGGGCGGTGGGAAGAGGCAGGGTGCGTGGGAAGGAGGGAGGTCGGGGTGGGGCACGGCCGCACCCCTGCCGTTCAGAAGCAAAATGAAGAGGGAGCTCATTGCAAACTGACAACTTGGCGCAAACTTGAGAGGGCTAACGGGGCCTTGGTGCTCACTGCCTTTGGAGGAGTTCTAGAAAAATCACCTGGGGTCAGCTGGGGCCAGAGGAGACACCCCCCTGGGATGTCCCATGGGCGGGGCGCGCTCCCTCCCACAGCGGGGCTGCCTGGGGGCTCCCCGGCTTCCACAATCTCCACTCCCTGCCCCCGCTCCTGCTGCCGCCTGCTGCCTGGGGTCAGGACCAGGGAAACTCCTTCCACCAGGTCTACAAAGGAAAACGCCCAGGTGTCTCCACCGCCCCAGGCTGGGAACTGAACCCCGGGTTCAACTACATGTTAGAGAGTTGACTTCACTGGCCGATTTGTCTTCCACTTGAGAGGGCTTTGTGTCAGAGACGGGTCTACTTCCCGAGCCCAGAGGCCCGAGTCCCTCACGGAGACAAACGGCTGGTCTGTGTTGTCACCCACAGCAGCGCCTCGGGGAGAAGGTCCGCGGAGAGGCTACTGCCGCTTGATTATCTCAAGGATCAGAGGGAGCAAAGAGGCGAGTGACTTGCAGAGACAGCCATGTCACCACCAAGACAGGAGCGCGGATGACCTTCACGGGCTGGTCTCCACCTGGCACCCTCTCTCAAGGCCACGGCCGCCTGGCTCTGTCGCACTGCAAGGGCTGCCACCGAGGGCCCATGAAGTTGCAGGCGGGAGACCAGAGGAGTCCCCCTGCAGTCCCCTTGCTGCCCTGTGGGAGGGGGGCTCTGGCTGGGAGGAGAGGCAGGATGGGGTCACCGGGGGCCAGGGTGGCCTGTGTCATGGGAAAGAGCGGCTGAGTTTCTAAAGCAACTGAGCCGCAGGCGACACTCCGTGAGCCCGGTTCTGGAGGACGAGGAAGAGAACTCCAACCGCAGAAGCAGGAAGGGCCGCTCGAGGGGCCTGAGGACCCTGTGGCCAGCTAGCAACGGGAGCTCGGTGCCACCTCTGCGGGTGGGAGCTGGGTCTGACCTGAGCCTGGGGGCACCTGGCATCCTGTGCCCAGACAATCGCTCTCTATTTACCATCAGCCTCCTCCACTCCTTCTTACAACCTTCTCCCTTTTAACAAATGCATCGCTCACCAGATGCGTCGTGCTAAACAGGCCCCAGGTGCTATGGAAGCCATTAACTGTCATTATCCAGAAGGCTCCCCGCGTGGGCTGACGGGGAATCCGTCATGTCAGCTACAGCACGTCGTCCCCTCCACCCCCCACGCCCTGCTCTGTCCCCCCGACGACGGAACCAGCGCTTAACGAGCCCCTTCCACCGCTGATGCGGCAGGTCAAGGACAGCCAAGCCCGAGCTGAGCAGGGGCCAGACCTCCAGGACGTGGGGACCCGACTTCAGGGACCGGAGGAGTTGGGGCAACAGAGTTGGGCCAGGGAGCGAGGAGGGAGAACGGTTTTCTCCAAATACAGCTTACCGAGAGAAAACTTTTCCTTCTGGAGATCACCGGGGCTTTCAAATACTTCCTATAAGCGGACTTACAAGGAGAAGATTGGACGGCCAGTAATTGTGATCCCAGTTTTTGGGCACAACCCCTCCTGGTACTCACGGAGGCTCCCTTCCAGCTTCTTACCCCGGAGCTAGCGTGATCCTTACGTTCTAAGGAAGGAGTTTGCCTTTTTTTCCCCAGGTGGTCATGTTAGTTTAACCCAGGGCTTTGGAGCTTGTGAATGAAATCTGGGAAGAGCAGCCTATAGGGTCAGACCAACTGGGTGGGGCCGACAAGGACGCCTGCCGCATCCAGGTGTTCCCTCGTCTCAGTTGGACGGTGAAGGGCAGCTCATCGAGCTACAGAGGCCCCAGAGCTCACACACCGGACGGCTCAGTCCTGCTCTCATTTCCTTGTAGGAAGGACCAAGAGTGGGAAGAAGCTACAGGCTGGGGAGTCTGGCTCAAGACAAGGCACTGGCAGACGTCCCCTCAGGGTGGAGCAGGGGCCTTCCCCCTTCGGGAGCTCCTGGGCTGGAGGCTGCCTGCCCCGTCCTTGAGCTGCAGCGCCTGCCTCTGCAGGGGAGGGGCTGGGCTGGATGACCTGGCACCTTCCAAATGGAGATGCACCAGGACTCCTGGGACGCAGTGGCTCCTTACACTGGGATCTTGGAACCCTGGAGTGAGGGGGTGCCGGGGGCCTAAAGGTGCCAGACTTGCTGGAGACCGTCTGGATCAGAAACTGTCCTGAGCTCGTCACGATCCAGTGCCGGGTGCCAGCACGGAATACGGAGCGACGTGCACCCCGAGTCCTGATCAGGGCGGGTGCAGCAGCGACGGGAGCCGGGCCAGGGGGTCAGGAGCGAGGCCTTCCAACCTCGGGTTCCTTGGGAACCTCTGTGCTGATGGGCAGGGGGGATCCTGGGGAGCACCCCGCAGGGGTCCTGGAGGCCGGGCAGACCCCCTCTGCCAGTCCCGTCAGCCACAACAGCAACAGCATCTTTGTTTTTAGACCAAAGCAGGCGCGCAACTGATCCCAGAGCGCCTGCCGGTGGCGGGGGAGCCGTGACTGCACACCCTCCGGTCACGGGTCCAGGTGGGTCAGCAGCCTGGCCCTTCCGGGTGGCTGGCAGGACAGTGTCGGGGGTGACCAAGCTCCTGGCCGCAGACCTGGTATGGGGGAGAAACCCCCAAGCTCCCCTGAGGATGGTGGCGCTCTCGCTCAGCAGGGTGTCAGACAGCTGGAAGGTACTGCAGATGGGGTGTCTCTTCCCGCCCTGGTGGCCGGGGACGCAGAGGTGGCCACCATGGCCCACGGGGTTCTATGGCTGTGCCACACGGTGCGCCCAAGAGAGCAAAGAGCAGGCTTCTCCCCCGCCCTGAAGGGGGCTGAGCCTGACCCAGGCCCCCAGGAGACCCGGAGCCCACCTGTGGGTTGCAGGCGGACCTAGCACACTCGGAATCAGCCGTCCAGGGCTGAGCCCCGCCTCTGCTCGCATTACGGGACCTTGAAGTGACCTCTCTTTTTTGGTACTAGATTTCCCTACCAGTAAAAAGGCACAGAGCACCTGCTGCCTCCTGGCCCGCGGGAGTCCACGGAAGCCCTTGCCACGTTGCAGTCCTGGCTGTGAGCTCATGTGGCCGTGGCCCACATGGCTGAGGACAGGAGGGGAGAAAGCGCGTCAGACCCGAGGTGTTTCTCAGACTCACCGATCCATCTCATCAGCGACGTCAGGAGCTGCAGGTACTTGGTCTTCTGGACGTCAAAGAAGGTGAAGGGTCCGAGGAGGAGGGTGAAGACAGCCTGGGGATGAAAACAAGAGTGAGAGGGCGCAGAGACTGCGTGCACACGGCACATCGTGTGTGTGGGGAGGGCACGCCGTTCACGCAGCCCCCGGCCACCCCAGGGCCGGTCCTAACCCAGGTGTGCACCTGGAACGGCAGAGGCTCCCTGGGGTCAGACAGCATCACCTGGTGAGTTCCCAGGGCCAGGGGTGCAATAGAAACTCAGAGCTGTGCTTCTCTGCTGTTCCTCACACTTACTGCCCTGAGGCTATTTTCTAGGCAAATCCGAGGTGACATCCTAGGGACATGGCCCTGCTTGCTTCTCTTCAGCAAGCACTGACTGAAGGGTCGAGGGCCCGGCACTGAGCTGGTGCAAGCACGAGTTAGGAAGATGAGGCTCCAAAACAAACACCAGGCACACCCTGGACCCTCTCGGTTTACTGGGAAGAAAGGACCAGGGGTGGGGTGGGGGACGCACGGGCCCTGATGACGTGGCACAGTGGGAAGGACACCATCCTGGAGGGTTCAGAGGAAAGGATGAATCAGGATGTCGTTCATCATCAACGTCCTGGACTTCGAGAGGAGGGAAAGCCTGGAGAACCACAGCCGGTGGCTCCCCGGGCAAACCCGTCAGAGAGACATACCGGACCAGGAGAACCACAGCCGGTGGCTCCCCGGGCAAACCCGTCAGAGAGACATCC